CTGCCGCAGCCTGCTTTACTGTACAATAAAACTTTGCTGCCAGAAGGCCAGATACCTGCCGCCCGAAAATCGAGGAGAGGAGGAAAAAAATAACAAACAACCCCGTTTGCTCTAAACTGCTGCATCTGTCTATGCCAAACTAATCGATACCGATTGCACCGCAGAGCCCCTGCGTGGAGGTTCCCTCGCAGACAACTTCACTGAGGGCGGCTCGGAAATCCCCGTCAGAGGGTCTGCCACGTTCTTTCATGCTTGCGCTGTGGGCTCCAGTGGGCTCTCAGGATGGGCTACTGAGCACACAAGGCTAGTCCTGGGCCACACTTCTTAACATTGACCTTGCTGGCAAGCCCGGCGTTGCTCTGAGGGCGAAACCTGTGTCGATTAACACTGTCACGCTGTGAACTCTGGTGGCACGTCTGTTCCTTTGAGGTCGTGGCCACCCTGTTTTACACGTACTTTTAAAATAGGGAGCGGGAGGTGTGAGGGGGAAATATTCTGGAGGTGGCGCTTTCATCATTTCCAGTTTTATCAGTTCAGCTACTCCTTTGTCTGTTTTATTGGAAATTTTAACTACCTGTAAAATCTAAAGATGGCTGTTAGTGTCACGCCGATTCGGGACACAAAATGGCTAACCCTGGAAGTGTGTAGGGAGTTCCAAAGGGGGACTTGCTCACGACCAGACACGGAATGTAAATTTGCACACCCATCGAAAAGCTGCCAAGTTGAAAACGGACGTGTAATCGCCTGCTTTGATTCATTGAAAGTGAGTAAATATTATATTATTTTCAAGGATATACAGTTAATGAAAGAAGCGGTTGTAGGCAGAAAACCCTGCAGCCCAAAAGGGAGCACTTGCTGGCTGCCAGCAGTGGGATCTGTTGCCGCTGTTATTTTATTGATGCTTGTTGATTTGTTTTGCTCTTTTCCTCAGGGGAAGGGTAAGGATTGGGGGAATGAGGGAAAATACGCCTGGCAGGGCTCAAATCCTCCGGTGTGGCTACAGTGACTTTGCCTCCAAATTATTCTCTGCTTGTGGCTGGAAAAAAGGGCACTTCACGTAGAAACAGCAAAGTCACTGTTAGGATTCTTTGTTTTTAATAGCACAAACCACGTAAGCAATATGAGGATTTTTTTCCATCTCGTAACTACCAGCGGGTTGTTGGTGTCTCTGGACAGCTGATGGTGAATCTTAGAAGAGTGTTTTCCTCAGTAGGTTATTTGGGTGCCTGTGAGCACCCTGCTTGTATTTCGGTGTTTGGGACTGCTGTAGAGATCCTGGCTTCTTCACAAGTGCACTCACTTGAGGGAAGGGCGACACTTAGCAGAAGACAGGGTATCTCTGAGTGTGCACCTAGGGCTGTGGCAGAGCAGCTACAGCCTCCTGGTGATTTTTAGGAGGCACATCCGGGTTAGGCACTGTAAATGTATGACTGCTGTTTTACTGTAGATGCAGTTTTAGTAGTAGGTGTTAAACATGTGGATCCCAACCCCTTCCCTTCATTTTTTATGAGTTAAATAGTCTTAACATTTAAAATACTCATCTCACAAACAGCAGAGAATTGATTCGGTGGAGTCATAAAAATATGAAAGGTTGGAGAATGAAAATGTGCCTGTCAGATTTACTGCAGTACAATTTTCACGTCCTGGGACCAGAGCTCGGGTGCGTGGGGCAGGCTCATGGCAGAGAGGTGCTCTGGGGAGAGGTGTTTGTGGCTGTAAGGTTGCTTCTGCAGCCGGGCCCCAGTCGCAGCGGGAGCTGGGCAGGAAGCGGCCTTATAGCGGTTTTATATAAACCCTGCAATGTTCCTGGGTTTAAAAACGTGTCTTCTCTCAGATCAGAGTGGAGAATGAACCTTTAAAATGCTCTTGGGTCCAAAACACCCAGCTCCACCACCTCCAGCTGCATTTTAACTTACGGAAATAGAACTGGTTTGTTTCTGTGTTTAAAGTGGCACAGGGAGAGGGCGGAAGAAAAACTCATTTTAAAACTGGAAATAAACCATTTCTGTGCATTGAAAAACTGTTGCCACTGGGAGCAGTGCTGGGGCAGCCAACGCCGGTGGGGGGTGCCGAAGTGTCACCCGCCAGAGAGGAGCAGCCGCTGTGGGCGCCACCCTGGGTGGCGGCGAGCCCGCCTGGTGCTTCCTCTTTGTGGCGGCGAGGCGGGATGTGGGGGGCCCCATCCGCCGCTGCCTCGTCACCACTGTGGGTGCATGGCCCTGCCACAGTGGGGATGGCCTGGCCGTGGTGGCACTCACTGTGACACACCTGCCCAAAACACGGGCCTGGGCTGGGGACTTAAACCCAAAATGTGGGCCTGGATGGGAGACCCAAACATGTAACGTGGGCCTGGATTGGAGACCTAAACATGAAACGTGGGCCTGGCCTCTTAAACCTGCCGCTGGTGAGTGAGTGTGAGAACACAGGTGTATTTACTGGTTAACTGGTACCTGCAGCATCCCTGGGGTTAATTTCCAACTGAGCCACTGTGGGGTTAGGGTGGCCTTACCCTGCTGGCCTCTCACTTTTCAGCCAAAAAGGTCGAAACAGGACACCGGAGTTAATTGGCGGTGAATCTCCTTTGCTATGGGAAGAGGAATGACCTGGCAGAGCCCTGCACCAGGCTGCCCAGAGAGGCTGTGGAGTCTCCTTCTCTGGAGAGATCCCTAACCTTCCTGGATGCCATCCTGGGCACCCTGCTCTGGATGACCCTGCTGGAGCAGGGAGGATGGACAAGAGAATCTCCAGAGGTCCTTTCCAGCCCCTGCCATGCTGGGATTCTGTGAGTTTGCTGCACATAAGCATCCTCCACTTGGACTTCTGATGTCCATGGTTGTTGGAACTGCCCTAAAATTTTGATGCTGGATGAGAAAGCTGCTGATGCTGGAGCCAGACCAGCAGCATGGGCTCAAGTCTGGGTGAGAGACCAACCAGGGACTGGCCAAGCTTGCCTGTTCCTGTGGCGCGGCTGGCTCCTGTGTCGCCATCAGCAGGGCACTTCCGCGTCCTCTTTTAATTAAGGAGGTAGTGGTTGTCTTTGTAAAGAGCTGCGGGGTCTGAGGATAGTAACTGTAGGTAACATTACAGCATTGTTGTGTTGCTTCAGAATAACTGTGGAAAAGAGTCATCTGCTGCCTGTGTAAAGTCAGCACGGTGGCCGAGTTGTGAGCTGGGAAGGAGTCGGCTGGTTTTGGTTAGTAGCTTCTATAAGGTTCGAGAACACCTCTGGTGAACAGCAGATGGAATGTGTCCCCTCAGTGGATTCCTGGCCCAACTCAGAGAGTAGGAAGGCAGTTGCTGTGTTTTGGGTTGTTTGGGTTCTGTGGCAGTTTCTGTGTTAAGCTGAATGGGCACTAGTTATTGTGTTACCTTCTCTGCAGCAGCACAAACTTCAGATGTTCCCCAAAAACAGTTTAGGGAAACCTGCACTGGATGTGCAAGTGAGATCTAATGTAAGGTTAGTTACAAGGTAAGTTAGGTCAGCTCATAGTTTACCAAAGGAAAAGAAAAGATTTTTGGCTAGGATGTGGTATTTTTAGTATTTAAATAATTTAATGCATGTAATGTCCTTGCTTTTTACTAAAATAGCCGTACAGCTAAAAATTTGCCTTAATAGTAACATACTTGATTTCTTATAAACATAAGTAATATTAGTGTTAACTACACAGCTATTTGTTCATTGTCTCTGGGACATAAGACATTTAGTCACTGGATTTCCTTTACACACTGTGAATGCGTCTTCCCTCTGGCGTGCCGGGGGAGATGCTCTGTGCTGGCTGTGCCCCGGCAGGTGCGTGTCCCTGCGGCAGCCAGTGCACTTGGCTGTCCTCAGAACACAGAGGGGCAAAGCGGGCGGTTCACAGGGGCACCCTGTGGGATGGCAGCGCCTGGCAGCTCTGTCTGGCCAGGCCTTGGGCTCTGTCCCAGCCACATCCCAGCCTGTTGGAGGGAAGAACAGACCTTAGAAGTGGAACTTTTGGCCGTGGATGGATAATTTTATTTTCTTCTCCCTGTGAGGTGAAAGCAAAACCTGTCTGTGCAGGTCAGGAGCGAGGCGAGGGGCTGCCTGCTCCGAGGGTCTCCTCTGTGGCGTGTGGGCACCGCAGGCGCCGTGTCGGCACCGACAGGAGTGGCCCGCAGAGCCGAGGCCCTGCGCCCAGCGTGGACATCCCTCTGGACACGTGTCCTTGTTCAGGATTGGTGTCCCGGGGGTGCACCTTGCAGTTCTGTCCTCGCTCTGAACTGGTAACGAGTGGCGGGTGTTACGTGTTAATTAGGAGAAAAAGGAAGACACGTACCCATCCGTGACCTCGGTGAGAAGTGGGAGGAGGAGGTCAGAGCTCTGTCAATCACAGCCAGATTTTATCATCCCGCTGCTGAATACCCTGCTTCCTAATTAGTCCTAATGAAATCTGCAAGGCTGTCCTTAGGGTAGTGCAGTAATCAAGATAAATGGGTGTGGGATAATCTAGCCCTTAGATATTAGGAAGATAATTTTAAACCAGGAATGATTATGTAGTGCGTATTCAAATTGTGCGCTCGAGTGGCTGAGTCAGCTCTGGCTCTGGGCTGTTTAAATGCCATAGGATTTTTTTCCTAAATTTGGATGCCTGACAGCCTGTTACACCGTCTACAGCAAAAATTAGCTCTTGAGTTCCTAAATCAGGAAATGGTCTGCCATAGAAATTAGATTTTTAGCATAATTTTAAAACATTTTTCTTCATTTTTTGCTTGGAAAAACATGCCGAAGTAGAACGTTCCGATAGATGAGTCATCTGATGTTTCCTGAAAACTGAGATCAAGATGTCTTCACAACGGGGCGAGGGACGTCGAATGCAAACCTTGCGGGTGCACCGGGGCCACCACCAGCCCGCCTGCAGCTCCTCCACCCGCCCTGCGTGCCTCGGCTCCCACACAGCTTTTCCTAGCCAGACATTTTGGAAAGTATAAAAACAATGAGGAGGAAAGTAGGCAAAGGGTGATGAGGACGAGGACTGTCCTGAGTGCTGCCTGGCTGTGGGCAGTGCTGCTGTCAGTTGGTGCTTCTCCACTGCAGTTCGTGGACTTTCTGCGGCGGGCTCCAGGCCAAAATGTGCCGGTTCTGACTGATGTGAGCTTTGCAGGAGTTTAGTGGCCTTGGTAAACATTACAGGATTTGGGCTGTATCGCAGTTTATCCCTTTGAAGCTAATGTTCACTACGGGCACCGCAGACTTCAAATAGATTTTCTTTTTTTTTTTTTTCTCTCCTGCTAAGGTGACTGCTTCATGCTGGACTTGGATGTCCCAATGAAGTGTAAAAGCTTTTTCCTACTCTTCCTTCAACACCTGATAAGTCTTGGACTCTGAGATTTCTGTTTCTTTTTTGAAATTCTGAGATGAAGCAGGAGACTAGAAGTGCAGGTTTTTTCACTGATGATGCCTGAGTTTGAAGCTCTGGTGCCTCATATCTAAGATCCACTGATACACAGTATGTTAGGATTTTATTTTCTGTTGTAGAAGTACTTGTTTTTTAAAAATGAAACTCTTCAAAGTGATATGCTGCTTTTTGCTGAGAAACCTTGAAAATATATAAATGTATTACTATTGTAGATGAACTTGATGAGCACCTTATTTCTGCCACCTCAGAGATGTAATTAATTGTTCCAATGTCTCTACTTCATCACCGTTTCAAAAAAATTTTTTTTTTTCACTTGTGATTCTCCTTTGTGTAATGCTTAACTAAGGGTGTAGAATAAGGACCTTATTTATTTATTTTAATACAT